GGAAATTCCAAAGTTTTGGGTGTTCCAATGCATAAGGAGGTCACTTATGTTAGCACTAAGTCGACCTGTAAACAGAGTGATGCTGTTGGGTACTGCCCAGTGTGTTTTCTTTATATGCTATGGAAGAATGGCATTTACAATAGTATTGAATTTTATTAGAAGAACTTTCCTATAACAAACGTGTCATCAAAAAACTTACTGCCAGTGATAGCAAATTTTGATCCTCTAACACTGAAGATACACATATTACAAACATCAGTATCTTACCTGCATACAAAGCTCAAGTGTTTTGAGTACAAATTTAGAATCTGTCTACAAAAAATAATGTTTTACTTTAGGTTTACATTTCCTTTTTCCCACAGAAGGAAATGCATTATGTGATGATAGGACTATAGGAAAGGTTGGCGACGTTGCAATTAAGCACTGGCCTTACAGAGGCAGCGATTGCCTGGGGAGAGGAGGCATAGAGCAAATTAATGTAGCATCGAAAGCAAGATGCACAGAGGTGGCAACGAGCAACTGTAGTAGCTAGCGGTACTTCCCTGTCACTGGGGAAAGAGACCAGGAAGCCCAGCAGAAATAGCGATGCCATGCCATATATAGCGGGGATGCCTCCATTTGGCAGCTCCAGTATTAACACAACTCTTCCTGCAGCCCTGTACAAGGCATGGCAGAATGGTACGTGCACAGGTGTGAACAAGACGTGCCTTCTCCTTTATCTGGGGCCTGCCAATCCCACCAGCATCGCCGGCTCCGATTTTCCTGGTTGTTAAGCTGCTTTGTCCCTCTAAGGGCCTATCCCTTCCTCTTCCTCTTTCTTGGCCACAGGGGACTCTGAGATTGGCAGTCCTTAGAGAACACACCACATAGCTAAACACAAAGAATACCGTCCAGCTACAAGTCGTATTTCAACTGCGCAAGCTGCGTGGTCCCTCTGTTCAGGAGAAGCGAGAATGCACAGTTCAGAAAGCTGCACTAATGCCGCTTCTCACTGTACACCTTGAAATCATGGGTCTTCCAATCTCCATTGGCTGCTTGGGGAATGTCTGTTAATTGTACGTGTGTGCACGTGCTTTATAATATCAGAAGCCACCTTGTGCAAGGCACACTGAACAGCAGATTAAAAATTAATAATTGCCTCCTTAGTGACTGGCAGCAGCAAACCTGACACAATCCAGGCAACAGGTAGATGGATATAAGGAAATAAGTTTCTTCAAGTATTCTCAAGCATGATCAACAATTTAGCCTCTGGTGTGTTTTTCTTTCATGTATTCAGTAAGGCATAGCATTCTCCACCCTGTGGTTGCACCTGCCTTTTTCTAATCAGTCCAGGGTTGCTTTGGGCTTAAAAAAGGTGGAAAAAAAATCATAGCATCCCATGTAGCATACAGTTCTGAGCCTAACAGCAAACCAAACAAGTGGTAGATGTATAGGTAAGATATTACACCTGATTGTATCTACCTGTACTTACCTGTCAGCAAAGGCCCTTCTTCAGGTGCCCTAGTAATCTAAGGTGTATCTGGGTTAACTGGTAGACTTGTCAAACCTAACGCAGCTCAGCCAAGCAATACCCTCCCTGTTCCCCAGGGAATAATGCATATTGCTTTATCTATACTGAGGCTTTTGATCTTATGTTGAAATTTGTTTGATCTCTGCTGATTGCTTTTATGTTCTTCTTTTAATCTGTGTTGCTTTTGAGGCAGTTGTTTTAATAGTATTTATTTTATTTTGCATGTCTGTAGCCTGAGGTCTTCCTCTGATTCTCTTCTTTGAAATGGGTCAGGAGAGAGGGCTTTTTGGTTGTGGGCCTCAGTTGTGGAAACTTCTTTCCAGAGGGACTTGGTCAACTCTGCCACAAAACGTTCTTAGCGCAAGGTCTTCCACCCCCATTTGCTTGTATACTTTTACCCTCTGCTGGAATCCCCACCTGCCACTACTCTTTTCTAAAAACTGTGACTGTTTTGCACAATACCTTTAACTGTTTTTATTGAGTTTTCATTAGTTATTGTAAATTGCCCTGGAAGCTGTGAATGGGATATTGTCTTTAAACAACCGAGCAAGCATAATTTTGATTCTTTGAAGCCACTCACTGAAAGACAGACTATTGATTTGTAAAACAAATAAATGACTATTTCTGCATTTGCTTATGACAAAGTTATCCATGAAAAAAACATTCTTGATTTAAAGTGGTCTAGCAAATGTTTTACGGAACACATTTCTACTTGTGGGTCGCCTGTTTGCAATCACAGCAGCCAATCTCTGTTCAATTTCTGTTTTAAGTGATCAGTAATTCAAAATCACTTGATATTCTGATTGTTTCATTGCCAGGCGGATACATGGAGGTTCTGTAGATACACAGCCATAAATGCACGGAAAGATACATCTATACGCTTACTTTTAACTTTCCCTCTCATTAGCATTCTGGTGATGAGAATGCTATTCTCATAAATGTTTGCAGAAGGCAGATAAAAAAAGGTGGTGCATACTGTTGGAGTTAAATTGCAGCTTTTGTTTGATCTAATGCTTGCAAATTATTTTGCAATATTCATATCTTGTTGCAGTTCAGGAATCTCCCAAGTGCCAATGCAATCATTGCTTTGCTTTTATACATGACTTCATTTTGTAGGCTTCATCTACACTGTAGATTCCATAGTATGTATTTTGTTCATAAAACAAACAGATCTGCATTTTCAAAGTTTATCTTTAAACTATCAGGAGCTGAGATCTTTTATTGCTCAGATTCATGTAATTCATCTTATGCGCTTGTTAAAATGTGTTACTACACCAAAATCTCAGGATTTACAAATAGAACTACCAGCTAATTTTATACGTTTTTAAACAAAATATCAATTTATAAAATGCATATGTGAATAACTGCTAACAAGGATAGCATTTTGAGCTATCAAAAAGTGTAAAATAACATACTACCTAATAAAAAATAGTTTATGTTCCTCTGAGTTAAAGTACTGTTTCCATTATTTTTTCACTTTCTATTACAATAACATACCAGAACTGAGATCTAGTCCTTGCTGAGGTGATAAAGGTGTGCCATGGTTATACCTGGTGTTTGGGCTGAATGGTGGCTGCTACCTGGTCACCAGAAGCTTCTGTGAAAGCAGCACCCCATTTAGTGTTGCTATGGTGATTCTGCATGGAAAAAGGGCAGCTGCTAGCCAGTGCCCCCTGTGGCCCCGTTCCTGTGGGAAACAGTGAGCCCTGTCTATTCTACCCAAAATTCCCCCGAAAAATGGCTTCAGTGTCCCAGTTCTGCCATTCATAAACGGGGAGCCCCTCTCAGCTGGGTCCTGTGTACATTCTTTCAGACCACTTGACAGACGTCCTGCTCATTCTGTTTCCAGTCTGCCGTATCATGGTGTGGGTGACTGTCTGGCAGCTCTTTCTATCTGAAAATACAGATCTTTCTGTTTAGAATCCACTGGACAAAGGGAAGTGGGATTGGCTCCAGCAGTGAGCTGGTGCAGCTGAGGCTCTCAAATTCTGAATCCCCTCTCGATGGAGTGGAGTGGTGTTAGATCCACTGGACAGCAAACTGGCTCTGACCTCTCTCTTGCCATGCCCAATGGAACCCACCATTTTGGCCCCTCCATTGGCCATTGCTGGGATCCCACCAGTGACAGCTGCTCCCTGCAGAGCCCTCTGTGAGCAGAGTTGGTTGCCAGGATTGATGGCGCACTTCCACCTGCAGAAGGGACCCTCTATCTCAGATACTTTAGGTTTGGTCCTGCCATTTGGATTTTTAATATTTGCGTAAGGCAGCTCTTAAAAGAACACTGGGCATTTCATTGTATGCATGTCGAATCAGATGCAAATGTCAAGTATCCAGGCTTTGGTCGATCCTATCCGAAATTCTGTACATACACTTTTCCGATCTGAATTCCTATACTAATGCAAATTTATGAATATAGTAACACTGCCGTTTTTCATGAGCAGACTATAATTCTACTTGTTAGGATTCCTGATTAGATTAATTCTCCAGATGAATCTATGTCTACCTGTACAAAAAAGGTCTTGAGGTACTGTACAGATTGGGCTGAGCTTGGAAACTCTCCACTAAACGCAGTGAAAGTAGTCACATGAGTAAAAAAGGAATTAATACACTCTCTCTTTTCCCCCCAACAAGATCTCTGTTAATCAAATGAATGCTACCTTTATTCTGTAATTTGTACTGGGAGGCTTCTAAGAGAAGGAACTAAGTGAAAGATTCCATTTGGATGTTTATCCGTACAAGGCACAACGGGGAAGAGTTTGTGATGGCTCTATTTTTTCTGCACAGCTGCTGGTGCTTGTGACACAGAGCCATGTGGTCACAAAAATTCCATCTGCCACACGCATGATCCATCAATGTGAGGACCATGCCTCTCCTCTTTCTCAACCTAATCTCCTCTATGCTAGCATGCTGTATCGTATGCTAGTCAAAACTCTGAATAATATTCAAGTCAGACTGTAGGATACATACAATAGACAAGCTGACTGCTGCATAGGAAATCCGCAGAAAATTTGGTAATGCTCTTTGAAGTCACTTCTTTGAAGATAGCACTCAAATGAGCTTATTTGTAACAGAAATGCTTAAAAAAAATAAATGAACGTCTTTTATATTAAGGCAAATTTTCCGTAGATTAACATGTCATTTCCACCTTGGCATTAATACAGTTTAAAATAACTATTTATTAAAGCAGTTTTTTTCCTATTTAGCACTATCAGGGAAGTTAAACAGATCACTACAAATCATTATCATGTAATAGAAAGAACAGCTGAGACAAAATACCAGTGCTGCTTTCATGCAACTTAGCAATTCAGCGTCAGAAGACACATTTCTGTACGGCACTGAGGAGGTTTTATAAACTCATCTGATCACTGTGGTGCCTTGAACATGTCGTATTACTGAAAGCCTTGGCCACAGTCCCGTGCGCTAGTTAGAGCTCAACTGATTTGCATTGTTTCTTTGCATTGTTTCCCACCGATGGCCATGGAATACCTACCTGGATGTTAGTCAGAAGGGTTTCTATGGAGGACAGACCATCGGGAAATAGAAAAGGAGATGGAAAGCCTGGAGGTAGCGGCTGCCCGTGCCCAGTTAGCGAAAGTTTGTCAAGGCTGTCTCTTGCGGTTGGTGTGGAGAGCGGGGTCTCATCTGTATGTGATTGAAACAAAAATATAGAACAAGTTACGCTTGTCTGTTTTTATTAGACCTCAGTAATGGCTTCCCCAGTGGTTTCCAGAACATTTATTGCAAATTGGTTCCTGCTATCAGGAGAAAATGCTTTCTGCTGAATTTTCTTTAATGAAAAAGCTGTGGAGATACAACAAGATAACATTAATGAGTAACTTTATAAGCCTTTTAAATGCAGTCTCTAATGAGACTGAGTTTACAGTGCCATAGAATCTTTTTAAAACAAATATTATCTCACATATACTTGTGATAATATATTTAGACTGACTTTATGGTACCTTCCCAATTATCTCATTTTAGTGTGTGCACTGTTTGGATTGACAATAGAATATTTCCAAGTATGATACATATTTTATGTTGCTGGGGATATGTTTATGTGAAAATGATTTTCAATTAGTTAACCCATAATCAACCATATCCTTGATCCAGGAGGATCCATGCACAAACAAGCTGCCATGTGCAAATCGTTCTACTAGTGATGCGGCGGGCAAAGTTTCCCATTCAACACCACTGCTCCTGCGCTGAATGTACACTGCACGCAGCAACCGCACAATCAGCAACCATGCCGGAGCACAGGCGGACTGGAGCGAAGCGCTCTCCAGGCATCACCTCTTCCTCTCACAGTGGTACCTTCTCTTTAATTTATCGATTTGACTTGATTTGTTTAAAAGTCGCGCATTAGCACCACGCTCTCTGGGCAGCCACTGCAACTTCTGTTCCACAAGTGGGCTCAGTATAACATCATGCTCTTGCCCAGAAAGACAATTAGAAAATGATCTAAGCTGACTTCCTTTACGAACCCAGAATGTCTGCAATCCAAACTAATTGGAAGGAGAGCTGTTAGTTGTCAATTACAACACCCACATTATTGCATAGTCATCTCTTAAAACTTAACTTCTCTTGCTACCAGAGTCATTGATTCATTGAACAGGAGTGTCTGCACCCAGAGTAAGCCCACAGTAGATGCAGTGTCCAGTAAATTCAATGCAAAGCAACACTGAATAATTATAATTTGGATACATGTTCTTTTTGTTGTTTATTATTCTTGTTGCATCACGTTTATATCCCACCATCTTCTGGGTTCCCAGATCTCCCAAGTTCCCAGTCCACCAAACCAGCTTACATGGAACTTAAGAACATTGAAAGTGTTTCACATATATTACTGTACAGGAATACCATAAAAGAACCATTGGCCCCACATTGCAGGTGGAACTGTTTCTTTATTTGTCTCTCACATTTGTATGCTGCCCCATAGCAGGAGGCTCTCTGGCCAGCTCATAGCGCACTGGTAAGAAATGGTAGTTTGCTCAGGCCACTAGGTGAACCTCTGGCTGTGGTGAGATTGAACTTTCTGGTTTACAGTTTTTAGCCAGCACACTGCAACAGCTCTGACACTTTCAAGATGTCCCCATTGGATTGATTTATTTTCCTATACATAACCAGACTGTAGAGTCTTGATTTCTTAGTTTCGGGTTTGGCTATCGAGCAGAAGGGGGCAGAACAAGCAAGGAAAAGGGAGAGAAAGTAGACTGTGCAAAGGGGACGGAGAGTGGAAAACGTGGGTGGAGAGTCCGTGTTTTGGGTTTGGCTATGCTTGGGTTTGTCGTCTATTCTCTGCTGCCTTCTCCCCGTCTCCAAACATCCATCATTCTTCCTACTTTGGTAGCCCATCTTCTACCAGGAGCTCATGTGATCGCTGCTGAGAGCTGCTGAGGAACACACGATAATGGTAAAGGGACAGTGTGAGGGTGAAACCTATTGTCGTTGCATGTGGTCACTTATGGCAACCATATCAATGAACCTCCTCCAAAATGTCCTGTCCGTGACAGCCCTGCTCAGCTCTTGTAAGCTCCAGACCATGGAGTCAATCCATCTCATACTTTGTCATCCTTTTCTTCTTCTTCCTTCAGCCTTCCCTAACAGGATTGTCTTCTCCCAGGAGTCTTGCCTTCTCATGATGTGCCCAAACTATGTCAGCCTCCATGTTCTCATATTTGTTTCTATGGAGATCTCTGTCTTGATTTAATCCAGGACCCATTTGTTCTTCTTTCTATTGGTCCAAGGTATTCTTGCCATAGTTAGCATGCATAGTATTTTTTAAACACAAATATAAGTCCAGAGTCTCGATGAATGTGCATGGGGAGGGGAACTGTCCCTCTCCCACACCTGCACCCTTGATGAAATCTTCCCCTTGCACCTTGGCAACAAGGAGAAATGTTCCCATTCCCCCAATATTGATTTCACAACTCAGAATTCTTTCACTGTAATATTCGGAAGAAGCACCATGAGACCTGCGTTATTTCCAGGGTTTGGTTTGCTGGACAATCAGGTACAGGCTTCAAGGGCCCTTATAAGGCTGTTGCACCCCTTTCTTATTCTCTTTGGGTCCACTGCAGTGTTCAACCAAGCACTCTGAACAGCACTGAAGGCCCTGATACAGTTATATACAAGGCTGTGTCTATAACTAATGTAATTCTGTCCTTGGAGAAGCCGTGATGTATCTGAGCAAGCCTGGGTCCCAGAAGATGGTATGCAGTGGCGGAAGGCCCAGATCAGGTAACGTCAGATCCAGAGCTAAATGAAGGCCAAATGTGTGTGTGTGTGTGGGGGGGGGGGGTTACAGTCACTCCCCAGTTTTGGGATGCAAAGTTAGGCAGCAAGTGCAGGTTGCAGATCCTAGGTGCTAGTTAATGAGATTGTGGTCTTCTTAAGCACGCGTGCTCCCATCATTGCTGGGATATGAGGACAACGATCTCTTACATTCTTTCCTTCATTCAATCATCAGCAAGAGTCACTTAAACTTTCCTAAAATGGTATTGAACTTTAGCCATTCCACACAGCTCCTAAGCGTATTTTAATAAACAATACCGACACTGAAGCACAGTGTAGAAGGAAGAGACTTGAACTCAAGCTGAACTCATTTTAATGAATGTTTAATTTAAGGGGGAAAATGTGATATAAAGTGACTTTGTTTTCTTGATGTCCGTGTGAAATAAACTTTGAGCGTGAGTGTATTTGAAGCAAAACAAATGCACATATCATACACAGGAAGAGAGCATATTTGTGGATGTGAGATAAGCTATGATTGAGGGAATCTTGAAAAAATGTTATGTTTGTAAAAGGAAAAACACATACATTGTAAATATCAGCCAATTAAAACAGAACCTCGGATCGCAGTAGCAAAATTATATGACCTTTGCCATTATAGTATCTTAAATATTTCCAAGAATGTTACATAACAATGCAGTGATGTGACTTTCTTTCATTAATAGCAAGTTAGAGTGGAAATACACACTTTTGACTTTTGGGATAAACTTATCTGAAAGAGGCAATACACATTTGCTCAGTGTGCCCTTGTTATTAACATTTTATTTTCATAGAAGGATACGTGCCAGAAGGAGTAAATGAATATGCTGAACTATAAGGTTGCAAGCCAATTAACATTCGAAGTTTTGACTGGACACAGAAGTACATTGGGTGAAGCACAGAAGAACAGGTGGTAATGCACAACAGAAAAAGGTCTGTAGCTAAGTATAACAGAGAAAGAAACAGCTACACGGACTCTTCTTTATTCTGCATGCTTTTGATGTGTAGAGCTGAACTGGCATTGTGTAAGAAATTCTAGCATTGGCTGTGTGGTGTGTTGTGAGTCGCCTTGCAGCCAAAACTCTCAGGGTGATGTGCATAAATAGAAATAAAAATAAAAAGCTTCAAATAAAAAAGAGCAAGAACCTGATATGAGAAAAAATGCTCACTATTTATAGTTCAAACATTTCTGAGATGTAGCCCTGCTACCAAGTTTTACTGTGTTTGGCCAATGAGTTGAGTCTCAGCTGGGACTGACATTTAGCTGTAGAGATACGTAGAGAATGACCGGTTCCTTATCTGTGGAAGGGACTTTCCTTTTGTAAAGAAAGAGCAAAACCCTGAAGGTTAGTGTAGCTGTGACTGGACAGAAGCATATCTGGCCCAAAGCAGATACGTCAGGTTCCTTTTCCTAGATCAGTTCTTACTCCAGGCAAAAAGAAAAAAAAAGCTTTTTTTATTTCCAATTGTGCTTCTAATTTTTTGAAATAAATCATCCTACCAAGGGAAATAAAGTCCTCATTATGCCTATGCTGTTTGCAAGTGTGTTGGTAGAATAGAATTGAACAGAATCAAGCACAACCCCGTTCTTCTTCCTCCAGTGGTCACCCATCCAGCGGTAGGCCAGTACATTTTTAGCTTAGCAAAGGTGACTTGGCATCCTAGCTCAAGGTATAGCTTGGCATCCTAGCTCTTGTTTTGGGAAATATGGTTGTGGCGAGTTTGCATGTGTGAAATTCAGAGTTAGGGGAATGTTTGCGTATTATTTAGTAGCAGTGTAATCTGCCTCATGTGAACTCGGAGAAATCCCATTCAAACAAGCAGGCCTTAAAACCAGGTAAGGAGTACATGCTGTACCCTGTTACTCAGGAGTAAACCTCATTTAGCTTAAGGACTTAATTCTCTGAACAGGTATGAGGAACTTAGAGCTTTTCCGCTTAATTTTCCTTCAGGTTCTACAAAAGGTTCTGGGTATTACGAGTTGCTCATAGCCTGCAATGGCTGAAGCACTCTTAGTCCAATAATTGATCTGGCCATGATCCTGCCAACTGTGTATTCATTTCGTTAATATTTGTCTGGACGGAGGCTCCACCTTGAAAACAAGATTATTAAGCATTGGTATGAACACCTCTTTTAATTCCTGTTAATTTTAATGAACAGTATACCATTCCATGCAGTGTAAGGAATGTACATTTTTATTTTATCAAGTTCAAATAAATAAATGGACCCCAAAACAAAGCTCTGGGGAGCATTGTAGTATTATTGTATTAATTAATTGCATTGCTGTTATTTTAGCATGTGTTTTAGATTAATTATTCTAATTTTGATTTGTAAATTGCCCAGGGCTGATGGGTGGATAGAAATATAACAAATAA